ATAATTTATTATGTAATAATAAAAATAAAATTATAAATAATAAATATACAAAAATGAGTTTTATTAGTTTTGATTTTATAAATAATTGCTGAATTGATTTTTGGTTGTTTTTAAGCTGATTATTAACTGATTTTAAGCTGATTTATGCCGAATTTTGACCAATTTTTAACATTAATGCTGATTGATAGCCGATTTCTATTTATCTAAAATGCCAATTTTTTGGCAATGATCAGTAGAATTAGACTATAATTCGACCAACTTTCGATACTTTAAATGTGACGAATTGTATTATTTTGCCTAGTGATATATAAATAACTACCAATCGTTAATATCTGAATGTTCTTTTGTGTGGCACCTGAATTGGGCAACATCAGTTATAACTAAATATACTGATTATTTTGGCAATGATCAGCAAAAATTAGACTATATTTTGGCCAACATTTAGCACTTTAAAAAAGGGACAAAATGGATTATTTTGACTAATGTATGTAAAGAATGAATTAAATTAAATTGTATTTGTGAAGGAACTTAAGAATTTGTAAAAGGTTTAATTACAAAAGTTGATATTGGATAAGCTGAATCTTCAAGTAAAAATTCATTACCTTTAATAATTTCAGAAGCATTAAGATAAAAATGAGAATTTTTATATACTCTAGCATCATGAACTGAACCAGACCATCCAATCTCATAATCTATAAATATGCCTTTATGATCTACAATTCTTTGTAATTGTATAGAATATCTTTTTTTCCTACTCCAATATGTCTCAGGTTGTTTTAATAAGACATTTGCTAATACTATATGACTTCCATCTATTGCACCAATTACATTTTTCATTCCACTAATATTTTTAAACCCTTCATATACTCTTTGTTTAGTTTCATTTGTTGACCATTTAACTAAAATTTTTTTAATGAAGAAATTGCAATCATTATTCTTTTATAATATAAATAAACAGTTTCTTCAGCAATTCTAAATCTTGAACATATTTCAAAAATATTTTCTTTAGAATCAATCCTTTTTAAAAAAACTGCAAGTTGAAGTTCAACAAAGGCTTGGCTTGTAAATTATTACTATTACTTTGAAAAATTGGAAAAGGATTTAATACTGATATTAGCTTTTAAAAATTTATAGAATCTATTCTCATTATTTTTTTAAATCTGATATCATCATAATTTGGTAAAATATTACATCTCCAATCTTTTGATTTTATTACATGAGTTCTTTGCTCAAAATATCTTGTTTCAAGTAATGAAGTTAAACCAAGAATTACCATTTCATCTTCTTCTTCACTTGAATATTCACCTTCAAATAAATCTTCATCTTCCATATCTTAATAAGCCTTAAAGATATAAAAAGATAATAAATTTTCTACCTTTCTATATTCTGATATATTTTTTAACAAAAAAAGTGAAATTAAATGGTTTAATTAACAACTCAAAAAATGTGAACACACAGTTCAAAAAAAAGCTATTCAACAATCAATCCAACGATCAATAATCTCAATTATGAATTTTTGATCGCAAATTTAATTGGATATTAATTTTGTAATCAAAGTACCAATCGACCAACTTTGAACTAGCCTAATATTCCCATGTTTTCCATCACAAATAGGGTATGATGAGTTCTATGACTGAGCTAATACAAAATTATAATTATCAATTCCTCTAAAACTATTTCAGAATTTTAGGTATGTGAAATGCTTTAAGACAGAATCAATAATTAATTCTGGATAGGGTTTGGCTTCGTAAGTGATAGGCTTAAAATCAGAGGCTTGAGATTTTGCTGATACACTTATCACAACTTCTGATAATTGCCATGGTTCACATCCAGTTTCTTTTTTATATCTTTTGTATAATTTGGTATGAATCTTTTCTGTCAAAACGCTTGGTAACTCACCTAATTTGGCATGCCAATCCAGATATTCAGGAGTTAATATTTTATCAGACTTGGTCATGTTGCTTTTTATATGAATCAATTTAAATTTAATTGACATAAATCTGCTCTGTAAAAAAATACCACAATAAGATGTGAGCAAATATAGTATTGTAAAATAATGAGACTATGCAGTTATCTCAATTTCGCGCTGTTTACATTTAATAAAATAGGATCCAATCTTATATCTACCTTCTATACTTTCTTCATCATTATGATCTAACTTATATAATGGACATGATGTCTACTCAGTAATACCATAATAATCAAAATTTTCACTACTAAATTCTTTATACAAATTAGGATATTGATCCAATGTTTTGTTGTGAAATAAGATCAGTCATAAGTTAGCTTAGATTGGCTTGTTCATTAATCTGATTGGTTTTTGATGTAAGTGGTTGAGTGCTTATCCCGACATCTAGTGAATTTTTCAATTCAGATTCAGCTAGCAGATCACATGTGCGTGCACAATTGTTCACGCTGATCAATTTTTGAGATTTGGTTAGTTCATCAGTATAAAGACTTATTATATTCTGGATTTGTGCATCAGTTAGTCTAGAGATTGCATCAGCACTAGATGTAACCACTCCAATTTTATCTATTTCTATTTCTTTAAATAAAGTATAGATGTTTTTAGCCTTTTGTGTCATTTTACGCAAATATTCTCTTTTTTTACCAGAAAGATACAGCTCCATTTCATCATAAATTTGCATTCTTGCCATTTGATCACTAATATTATTTTCAGATCTAAGGATTATAACCTTTTTTCATATTCCTCGCTATAGTAATACCATCGTAATTTTCTTTCTGACCAGTTTTTTCAGCCTTGTCAAATAAATGAGCTAAATGAGGTACAGAACCTGAAGTTAGATCAGCAGATCCCAGAGGGATCACGTCAAATAAAACATATTTGCTAGATATAGAATTCAGTAAGAATGTAGAATTATGACATCTAATAAATTCAAGTAATTCACATATTAAATCTTGTTCTACTTTCTGATTATAGAGAATTTTTACCACCTTGATCTCTGATAAATTAACCTGTTTCTCTTCACTATGAAGCGATTCAGAAGTAGTTAAGGATGAATCCTGGGAAGGCACATGCGATTGGCTAAGTTTCTTTTCCTGATTTCTCTGCCTAATCTCATTACTAACCTTTTTCTTATGCATATCATCTAAGAAAGCATCTGTCTTTCTATCATTCTCCAATGATTTGCTATTAAAGTACTTCGTAGATTTGGTAGTATCATACTGGTCTGCAACAGGGGATATATTAATTTAATCTGCTGAAAGCACTAAAGACAAAGATATTGAATCGATTGGAGACTTTGGTATGGATGTATTGCTTTGTGCTGAAATATTAACAGCATTTTGTTCCTGTTTGATTTTCTTAATATCATCATCTAATTTAGCAATAAGGGTGGCCTTTTCTTCATCTCTCTGTTCTAGGTTCGTGAATCTGGCTTCATGTTCTTTCAAAGCATGCTTTAACTTCACATTCTCAGCCTTGACTTTAGCATTCTCCTTTCTAAGTTCTGTAATCTCGACTAAGAGCTTTAAATTTATTTCTCTCAATAAATTAATCTTAGATTCCCTATAAGAAATCGAAATTACATTTTTTATAAGGTTTGTATACGTAATTAATGATTCTATATCAAAATTCTGTATGTTTTATAATGATTTATTTT